CAGTTTATAATATAGGCCTATTTAGATGGTCTAGTTCTTCTTGTATGAGTTTTGACAGATTGTGTCTTTCAAAGAATTGGTCTAGTTCATCTAGGTTATCAAATTTATAGGCATAGTATTCATAGTATTCCTTTATTATCCTATTAATGTCCATGGGGTATGTAGTGATGTCCATTTTTTCATTTCTGTTATTAGTAATTTGTGTCCTCTTTGTTTTTTCTTTGTCTGGCTAAAGGCTTATCAGTTTTACTGATCTCGTCAGAGAACCAGTTTTTGGTTTTCAGCTCATTGATTTTCTCTATTGATTTCCTATTTTTCAATTTCATTAATTTCTATTCCAATTCTTACTATTTCTTCTGCTTACTTTGAGTTTAATTTGCTCTTCTTTTTCTAGTTTCTTGATATGTTATATCTTGAAAACCATCAAACAAAAACTATTATTTCCCAATTCTATATACTGGAGAGATCTAGAAACAATGACAAATTCAGTAGCTCTGAGCATCCCTAGCATCCCTACTGTGGTCATTACTATAAATTCTTCCTAAAAGGAGCCAAGAATTTTGGGAGATACAAAGCCTCCAGGTCTAGCGTTGAAAAATCCAAAGTAAGTCCAGGTTTCTTGTTATACCAGAAAGCAAAGAAACTATCAGTGACTACAAGGGCCTCATTGAGGATTCAGGAAGCAAGTTGAATAGACTCCCTCTGGCAGAGGGGGAGAATCATGCATTTATTCTGCCCTTCTTTAAATAACTATACTTCAGGGTAATTACTTTATGATGGGAAACTTCTCTTTATGGAAGTGTCCCTACTAATAAATAAAAAAGGTTTTTAGAATTAGAGTATTATTTTGCAAACCCTAATTAAAGAATCTGAAAAATGATCATCAATAACTAAGACTATAAAAGGAATTACAGGGCGCCTGGGTGGCTCAGTTGGTTGGGCGACTGCCTTCGGCTCAGGTCATGATCCTGGAGTCCTGGGATCGAGTCCCACATCAGGCTCCCTGCTCAGCAGGGAGTCTGCTTCTCCCTCTGACCCTCTTCCCTCTCATGCTCTCTGTCTCTCATTCTCTCTCTCGCAAATAAATTAAATCTTAAAAAAAAAAAAAAAGGAATTACAATCAAACATAACTCTGTGGATGTACACAACACCATCTCTGAAGTAATCTGATAATGCATTTAGATCTAACAATCAATACACAGGAAGAACAGGGGACACCATAGGGATGCGACCAGCACAATCTAGACAGTGGAAAATTCTACAAGAAAACTACCTGGGAGTAGCCAGTACCTGGCTGGCTTAGTCAGTAGAGCATGAGACTCTTGATCTTGGGGTCATGAGTTCAAGCCCCATGTTGAGTGTAGATATTACTTAAAAAATAAATAAATAAAATTAAAAAAAAAAAGAAAACTACCTGGTTTTTTAATGAACAAATGTAAGGGAAAAAAGAGAGAGAAAGGTAGAATCTATAGACTTAAAGAGACATAAGAGACAGGTCAAACAATTGCAAAATGTGAACTTATTTGGATCTTGATTCCAAAAAGCAAAATGTATAGAACAAAAAATGTAGTCATCTTATAAGCTGATAACCAGAGATATGGGAATATTAACTGAATATTTGGTTATTGAATTATTGTTTATTTATTTATTTGTGATAACAATATTTTGGTTACTTTTTTTTAAGAGCCTACACATTTTCTATTGCCAAAAAAAGCAAGTACTCTGAATAACCTTCCTCTGATAGCTATCTGAGGAAGTGGCTACTTTTCTTAAATTGCTATATAAAGACACCGTTTCGGGAAGGCTTTCTCTAAGTAACACTATCACTTCAAACATTCAGCATAATCTGATCTCCGTAATATAGTTCATAATTCTAACATATAACTATGATTAATGTACTTTGCAAACAGACAAAACATTCAGATACTCTATTGGTGATTCCTAGAGGTCAAAAGAAGCAATTTTTTCTTCTATGGATCACGTGCCTCTTGGTCTTGCCCCATTTTCTCCTCTGGTAGTATCCTACCTCTACTGAATGACCCAGAAAGGTGAATGCCAAAAACCAAAAGTTTAACCCTGGGATGACTGTGAGCAGTAGATAGTTGTGGTATCACCTTGCGAATAATGACCAAAGAAAAATCCCAAATATCTGAGGATAGTTGAACGAGATTGCCAGTTGGAATATAGGAAACTAAGTTTACATACCAGAACGAGGGGGTTACAAATAGGACAAAAGCTGGAACAGGTGTTGAGTAACTAAGTTTGGCTGAGTAGTAAGAATGGAATCTAGGTTAAAGATAGAGTCAGGAGAAACAGATGGAACAAAAGTTGAGCAGTAAGCAATGTTGAATAACCAGAACAAGAACAGTGTCAGAACCAGAACCAAAAAAATACAGAAGTCAATTCTCTGAAGAAGCAACAGAGACCAGAATCTCAGGCTTGCTATGGAAAAAAACAAACAAACAAAAAAAACGAAACTTCCCTGAAGGCACAGGGAAGCATTGGCCAGCAGCTTTTATTCGAAACTTCACTTGCTTAAAAGAACTTTGGTTCCGGTCACCTAGGAAATTATACACTGTTCACTACACAAAATTATACAACATCCATTACACATATTGGCTGTGGAAAAACTTAATAGCACCATATCATATGGTTTAGGTAAAGATTAAATAAAATTAAGTATTTCAAGCACTTAACCCAGTGTTCCTTAAAGGTTAGCTTTAAAAACAGTAACAACTTAACCTATGCTAATGGGAGGTTGTGTTTGTAAATTATATCTTATTGAAGGAGGACACTAAATCTTATCATTTCTATTCCTGTAAGGCCTTTTAATTATTTCTACTTGATATCTCTGCTGATATGACCTTAGTTTAAGTCAGTGTTTCTCAAAGTGTAATCCAGGGAACCCTGGTGGTCTCCAAGACTCTTTCAAGGGGTCATGAGGTCAAAATGATTTCATAATATTAAGATATTATTTGCCTATTTTACTCTCACTGTCTCCCAAATGTTCAGCAGAATTTTCCAGAAGCTACATGACATGTGGTGACAGCATTAGTCTGATGACTAACAGCATATGTGTTTGTATGCTCTTATGCTTGAAAATTTCCTCACTTTTTGTTTCTAATATGGTAAAGATGAGTAGATATAACCCAGATAACCATAAGTTCTTTGAGGTCCTCCGTGATTTTTAAGAGTGTAAAGGGGTTCTAAAACCCAGAAGATGAGAACTGCTGCTTTAAGCCATCATTTGTTGCCTTAACCTCCCAATGTATCCCTACCTCTTTCTAATTTCTTCAAAGCACTCATTCAAAAATACAAATCTGACTATATTACATCTCTGTTTAAAATTTTTATATCTCGGGCGCCTGGGTGGCTCAGTTGGTTAAGCGACTGCCTTCAGCTCAGGTCATGATCCTGGAGTCCCAGGATCGAGTCCCGCATCGGGCTCCCTGCTCGGCAGGGAGCCTGCTTCTCCCTCTGACCCTCCCCCCTCTCATGTGCTCTCTGTCTCTCTCATTCTCTCTGTCTCAAATAAATAAATAAAATCTTTAAAAAAAAATAAAAATAAAATAAAATTTTTATATCTCCTATAACTATAATATGGAGAAGTACAATAGCACGATAGAACAAACAAGCGAGCCTTTGGTTTCACCTAGGGCTGAATTCAAATTCCATGTTTGTCAGACCCTGCTGATAGACCCTGAGGAACCATTGCTCTTTCTTCATTTTTGTAATAAAATCCCTGAATTTGAGCTTAGCACATGGCACTACCTTTTGAAACAGCTTCCTTAAGGATGAGTGTGGTCATATGACAGTAGCCACTAGGAGATGAGCAGAATAATATCTATGAAACTTCCAGGTCAAGCTGTCTAAAAAAGGAAGCTGGTTTCCTTCCATTTTTCCCTCTCCCCTGCAAGCTTCAAAAAGTGTGGGGGTGGGGAGGAGGTAGAGTATGCTCAGCCCGCCTCAGCCATACGGATGAAGACCACACATTCTACTTCACATTGTTTGCCCAAGTCTATATTTTTTTCATGGAAAAAAAAATTAACCTCTATCTTGAGTCAATTTTGGGCAAGCAGGCCAAGACTTGGGCTTAACCTCAATCAACTGCCTGCATGAACTGAATCCCTGAGGTAAATGTGTTCAAAAGGCTCTATCTAGATATTTTTAGGTTCCTACACCAGTTTCCCATTAACCTAGGCCTGCGCTGAACAGTCTTTCATTTTTTCATTTAGTCTTTCATTTAATATTAATGAAGTACGCTCGGCACTGTGCACAATATATAGCAATATTTCATCACCATTCAATATGTCCATCAACAACGTGAGATCCAAAATGAAAAAAAAAAAAAATATTGGTGTCCTGATAGGCAGAGCAAAGCGACAGGGAATCAGAGGATCAATACCCTGGAACCCAGTCACATGGTTTCTGTGTCTGTCCACAAGTAGGCAGGACCTCAATAAATGACAGGGTTTCAGATTTATTAGAGAAGGACAATTAAGAAGAAAATGGCTCAGTTAGTGAAATAAGGAATGGGATCTGTGCAGAGGGGTACCCATGTGTGACTAAAGTAACATAAGCACATTTGTCATCAAGCCTGGGCTATTCTAGAATCCAGGGCAAGACTGAAGTATGCAAATAGGAGATAAGTGATCCAAGCTCATCAAGAGCTGTGGAGGCCAATTACGGAAGAATGCTTCTACCATAACAGAAGATATGTATAGGATGTTAGAATTATACCTTGTGTAGACATACTTGTCCACATGAAAGAAATACATGTTTTCCAGGCCATTTTTGTTTAAAATGGAAATGTGGTCCATTTGGAGATGGACGGTGTTATTATTACATTTTTACTAAAAATAATTTCTAATTTTATATTCTTTTTAGGCCGAAACAAATGAAATTGCTGTTTTGTGGATCAAACGTGGAATTAAAGGCTTACACAACTGTGGAAAGGTAGGAGTGAAGGCCAGGAAGGCCTCTTCGGGGAAATATGTAAGAATTGTAGGAAAACCACCACCAAAGGTCTCAGATACCCGCAGCATCAAAGTGGCTGATATGCAGAAGAATATCAAAATGCTAAAGGTAAATAAAACCTTACTTCTCCCATCTACCAAGGGTCTGTCTAAAGCTCAAGGATAATGGCTTTTGCTTTTCTTCTTCCTTACAAATGTCATGCAAGTACTACTCATTGGTAGTTTCTGCCTAGAATCCTGCCGGCAGGGGAGTCTGCAGAATGTAGTGTGTAGATTTTATAGCTTTGTGGTACGTGGCAAACCCAGAAGAGCGTGAGCCTATGATAATGTCATTTTTATTAATTAGACTATGGGTAGAGTTTCTAGGGCAGAATAAATAAGAGTTCAAAGCAGAAAGAGAAGGTATATGTCAACTCAGACTATTTTTTTTCAAGTGGTTCTTTTCCCTTTGCTCTTCTGCTTCTATGACGGATAAATGGAGATAACCCTGATGTGTGTGTGTGTGTGTACTTACCGTATGATCCACAAAAGAAAGACTCTTAGAATTATGTTTCTATTAGCCTCTATACCTTCCTTCATTCAAGGAATCACAGTCACATTTACAGTTTTTAAATTGGGGGAGTTGGAATTATTTGAAAATATAAAACACATTAATGAGGATAGAGAGTTATCTGGGATTCTATGTTATGACAGTAAATATATGCTTTATTCATTAATGTCCATTTAAAATAGAAATCAATGTGTAATTGTTAATGAAAATATAATTTTCCTTTTGGTAAAGATGCCTCAGACTCACTATTTCAGCTGGTCAGATTGATTATTTAAGAAACCAGTGGCAGATCTAAGCCACGGGGCTCTCACTATAATTACATCTGATTCCTGGACATTATATTAATGCTGGATATTAGTATAATAATAGCCACCAATATACTTTTCATCTGTATTTTTGAAATAACATGTATCTATGGAAGACACCTGATTTGTCATAATGGAAAGTTGGTGTTTTTAAAGTATATTTTAAAAGGGTAATTCCTTTTGACTGGACCGCAATAGTTGATGTTGTAAAATTGTATCATCTTTTTCAATAAGTCAGTGTTAATCCATCTTGCAATCTGTTGAAGCCTGGTATGGTGGTCATTCATTAAATCTGTAATAGTCAAGTGCCTCACACATTGCCCTTTAGAATATACTTATAGAGACATAAATTTTAGGGGAATTATCTGTGAAAATAGTTTAGTGTTTCTTGAAATTATAGGATTAGTCATATTGATATTTGATATAATGTTCAAGATTTTTAAAAATGAGTAAAATTAGAAGAAATACCAGTGAGCATCTCTCTTCCAATTACTTTCTGTTAGTTTTTTCCTGACTGTAAATATTCAAGCCCATTGTAGAAACTACATTTTAAAAATGGAAAATTCAAACCATATATAATTCTACTATCTAGAAACATCACCGTTTAAAAAATATATCCTCTTTTTTTTTTTTTTTCAGTTATCTGTGTGTAAGAGTAGATATTTGTGTCAGGTGTGCACATGTGAGTGAGGATGTGTATGTTTTCTGTAAGAATTCAAATTAGGAACATACTGTATTTTATTTACCATTTAAATATAGGAGTCTTCATCAGCATTTAGTGTTGGAAAATGAAAACTGAGGGCAAATTGATTTTTACTGCTTTGGGATTTGTTGAGATGGTGGATTACAAAAATAGATTTTCAGATGTTAAATCAGCCTTGCATCCTTGGAAAAAACCCCATTTGATCATGGTGTGTAATACTTTTTAGATATTTCTGAGTTCTATTTGCTAATATTTTGTTAAAGATTTTTGTGCTGGGCGCCTGGGTGGCTCAGTTGGTTGGGCGACTGCCTTCGGCTCAGGTCATGATCCTGGAGTCCCTGGATTGAGTCCCGCATCGGGCTCCCTGCTCAGCGGGGAGTCTGCTTCTCCCTCTGACCCTCCCCCCTCTCCTTTTCTCTCTCAAATAAATAAATAAATAAAATCTTAAAAAAAAAAAAAAAGATTTTTGTGCTAATATGAGAAACATTGGTCTATAGTTTTGCTTTGTTTGGTTTTATACTCTCTTTGCCTGATTTGGTGTGAGGTAATTACTGGCCTTATAAAACAAGTTAGGCAGTATTTCCTCCTCTTCTCTATTCTGAAAAAGGTTGTGTAGAACTCATGTTAGTTCTTCTTTAAATGTTTAGCAGAATTCTCTGGTGATACCATTTTATCCTGGAGATACCTTTTTCAGGAGCTTTTAAATTATGAATTAAATTTCTTTAATGATTATATGGCTATTCAGATTATTTCATATTTGCTGAATTTTGGCAGTTTGTGGTTTTCAAGGAATTGGTCTATTTCTTCTAGGTTGTTGAATTAATGAGCATAAAATTGTTCACGTATTCCTTTATTATCTTTTTAATGGCTGTAGGAATCTGTAGTGATTTTTTTTTTTTGATCAGGTAAATTTTACGAAAGTAAAATGCACAGATCTGAACAGCATAGTTTGATGAGTTTTGACAAATACACCCAAATCAAGATGAATAATATTTCCACCACTCTGGAAAGTTCCCTTGACCTCCTCTCAGTCAATAAGCTTTATTCTTGAGGAAACCATTGCTGCGATTTCTATCATTCTAGAACAGGGGTTAGCAAACTACAGCTCACACCAGTTAAATATGGCCTACCACTTGTTTATGTAAATAGGTTTTATTGGAATAAAGTCACAATCCCCCCCCCTTTTTTTTTATTTTGTACTATTGCTTTCATGGCTCAAGTACAGAATTGAGTAGTTGAAACCCAGACATTGTGGCCCCGTACTTGGGCAGTCAGTCTTTTTTGGATTTTTTCAGTGATCCTGCAGAGACCCAGCCTCCTGAGCAATGAAAAATTGGCATGGCAATAAAGATAGAGAATACCTTCTTTTGTTCCCTAGAAACATTTGTTCTTCACATTTGAAGGGTATATATTTACATTGCAAAGGAAGATGAAATTGAGAGCTATTTGTTTTCATTTCAAAGGATTGTAAACTAGAAACATTCCTCTTTTATTCCTAGTCAAGATTTATGTGCCTTAGGGAGGTAAGATTTATATCCTTCAGGAGTAGAGGGCAGCTGTATACCAGTTTCTGTATAAACGCTCAGATTCATAATTACAGGATTCCTCTCCTGTGATACAGAAACCTCCTTTTTGTATTACAGGCCTAAACTTTTGGCTTTCATCACACTGCTCTAAGAGGAAGAGGATGGGGCTTAGGGGGAATTCTGCATTTATTGCTGCTGTAAGTAACAGTAGTCTCCTTTGATCCAGAAACTTCTTGTTTGCTTTCCGGACAAAAACAAATGATATATATACTAAAAACTTATCAGCGCAAAGCCTTAAATATTTAATATTGGGCCCTTTACAGGAAAAGTTTTCCTAACCCCTGTTCTAGAGTAGTATTACTGTTCTTGAACTGAAATACATGGAATTATAAGTGTGTATTCTGCCTGGTTTCTTTTGCTCAACATAATATTTTAGGGATATATCCATATTGTTGTGTGTATCAATAGCTATTTTAATTTCTAAGTAAATTCCATTAGGTGACTATTCCACAATTAGTTAATGATTTCATGTTGATGAACATTAGAGTCATTTTTAGTTTTTAGTTATTATTGATAAAGTTATTATGAATATTCTTATATAAGTCTTTGTGGACATATGCTTTCATTTTGGGGGGTATAAGTTCTGAGTCATAGGTAAGATGTATGTTTAACTTTATTAAAAATTCTCATTTGCCAAAAGTGGTTGTATCATTTAACACTGTCAATGTATTAGATTTCCAGTTGATCCAAATTGTCATCAGTTCTTAGTATGATCAACCTTTTTAATTTAAGCCATTCTATGGAGGTAAAGTAATACCTTCTTGAGGTTTTCATTACATTATTCTGTTTACGAATGATGTTGGGCTCCTTCTTATGTGCTTGTTAGCTAATCATATATCTTTTGTGAATTGTCTATTAAAGTGACTTAAATATCTATTTTAAATCTTATATCTATATTATTATACATGTGTTATATATGTAATAATATTTATATCTTTTATATTTTGGATGAAAGTCATTTATCATATATGTGTTTTATGAATATCTCCCCCCAGTCTTGCCTTTTCATTTTTTTTTTGAGTACTTCTTGATGAGAAGTTTTTCATTTTGATAAAGTCCTATTTATCTATTTATTCTTTTGTGGTTAATGATTTTGTGCCCTAAGACATCTTTGCCTACTGTACAGTGAAGAAGATATCCTCTTATGTTTTCTTCCAGAACTGCATCCTTTTAGATATTACATTGAGGTCTCTGAGCTACTTTGAATTAACCTTTATATATGGTGGAAAAGAATGTCAAGGTTTTGTTTGTTTTGTTTTGCTTTATTTTTCTATATACTGTCCCATTTTTTCCAGCAACATTTGTTGAAAATATTTTCCTGCTTAATTACTTTGGTACCTTTATCAAAATGGAATTTACCATGTGTAGGTGAATCAATCTTTGAACTGTGTTCTGTTGGCTGATTTGTCTTTTCTTATGCTAATAGTAGGCTCATTTAATATTTGTAGATTTATGGTATATCTCAAAATCAGGTTATCTTCCAACGATTTTACTTCTTCATTATTTTCTTGGCTATTCTAGTTCTTTTGCATTTCCATATGAATTTTAGAATCAGCTTGTCTATTTCTATGAAATAGTCTGCTGGGATTTTGATTGAATCTATAGATAAACTTGGGGATTCTTAAAACCTAGAAATCCTCAGTTTTTTCAATCTATAACATATCTATTTATATAGACCTTCTTTAATTTCTCTAAGTAACAGTAGTTTTCAGTGTGCAAGTCTTAGTAAACCTTTCACTAAATTTGTTCCTAAGAGTTTGGTAAGACATTTTTTACTGCTTCCCCACTGCAAATTGGTCATTGCTAGAAAGTGAAAGCACTATTTATTTTTATAAAAGGACCTTCTCTGATGCAACCTTACTAAACTCACTTATCAGTTCTAATAATTTGTTTATAAGTTCATCTGGATTTTCTCTGTACATATCTTCTACAAATAAAAACAGTTTTATTTTATTCTTTCCAAAC